TCCTTTAACTTGTGCACTTCCAGGCTGTAACAGGAGATTTTATACTGTAACCAGTACCAAATTGAGGTTTAATCCAAAAGGTGTAGTAGTTGTTATATGCTTTCAAGTCTTGACTAATTAGGCACTCCTTTCACTGAGACTCAGTTTCCTCATCTATGAAATGATAGTTGGACTAGAGGAGGTAGGCTCTTAACCTGGGGTTCATAACTTGGTTTTTTTTACATTTTTTTTTTTGGCTAGGCAATGGGGTTAAGTGACTTGCCCAGGGTCACACAGTTAGTGTCAAGTGTCTGGTCTGAGACCAGATTTGAACTCTGGTCCTCCTGACTCCAGGGCTGGTGCACTATCCACTGGCCATTTAGCTGCCCCCATAACTTGATTTTAAAAATGTTTTGATAACTATTTCAATATAAGTGGTTTCTTTTGTAATCTTATGCATTTTATGCACTTCAGAGTATTCCGAGGAACGGATCCATAAGCTTCACCAGTCAATCAATAAACATTTATTAAGTGCCTGGCACCAGATTGCCAAACGTGGCCTTGACACACAAAAAGTTAACAAAAAGAACTCCTGAATTAAAAATATTTAAAAAGTCTCACTCTAGATCTTATTATCTTAAATAATTTTTGGACATCTACCCCTCTTCATCTTCTTAAAGAGATAACAGCTTTACCTCATTAACACCTCCCCTCGACTTGGATTACATCCCGGTGAGGTGGAGGGAGACTCAGTTGGCTTGATCAGCCTTCCATGCCTATCTTGTCTTAGAATCTCATTACTTTTTTGGAAAGAGGGTTCCTCCCCTTTCCACCTTTCAAAGGGAGAAAATGAGGCATGCTGAGATTGTGCTATGTAACTCTACCCTCCATCAGTCTGGAACCCAAAATACCCAATCCCCAGACTTCTACAGCATCCTGGAAACAGGAATTTTCAGGAGAGTCATGACCCCTTCTAATAATTGCCCTGAGGGAGAGTTAGCACCTCTCCTTCACTAAATCCCAAAGGAGACTGACACCACAGCTTTTGGGAGAGGAGTCTTTAATGTATAGTGGAGCAGTACACCACAAATGCTATGGCCAAGTCTGGGACAGTGAACTGGGGGAGTCTGAGGGGAGAGGAAGGGCTAATGTGGAAAGTGAAGGCGGGAATGGGGGGAAGGGGGTTATTGGTGCTGGCCAGGGCTGGGCTGCTTGCTCAACTGTTCTCCCAGAAGAAGTTGTTGCAGGCCACGGTGAGTGCAGCCACCAGCACCACGTACTCCTGGAAGTCAACTTCACCATCTCCGTTCTCGTCCAGCTCCTTCATCACCTTGTCCACTGCATCTGCATCCTTCTGGGTCTAGAATAAGATAGACGGAGGTTTCTGTGATGGAGAGCTGGGAAGGCTTCAGGGGGCATGAAGAATTGGGAAGGAATGGGAGGAGGGGCTAACGACTGAACTCGAGCCAGACTACGCAGGGTGACTAGGACAGGCACGGAAGAAACTGAGAGTAAAAAGAACCAGGCAAATGTACTGAAATTTAGAGGGGCAAGGGATGGGGAGATGGGGAGATGGGGAGGAAGATGAGAGGGGTGTGAGTAGGCTGACAAGGGAAAACTGGGCTGGACCGGAACTTCACTACTTTGGATCTTTCTTCGTGTAATTAACGAAGAAATCCTCAGCCGACTTAAGGGTGAACTCCTTAAGAAGTGGGCAATGGGATTCATCTTTAGGTTTCCCAATGGATATCACAGTGTTTGGTATATAATCGGCCCTTAATAAGTGTTTGCTGAATTTATTTAAATTAATTAAGAGAGTTTCTGGGAAGCCTTCAAGGAATAGAGGAAGGACCTGGGATGGGGATTGGGAACATGACAGAAGGGAGACGTAGAGGTCTCTGGGAAAGGTAGCTGCTTCCCATTCAGTCTGAGTCCAGTAGCTGGCTCCCAGGCCCAGAGCTCTAGGGTACTCTCCCCACCCCCTGCCACCAAACACTTACATCCAGGAAGCCAGAAAGCTCAGCCTGCAGTAGTTCCTTCAGCTCCTTCTTGCTCAGTTTATACTTATCACCTTCCTTGCCAGAATGGGCGTGGAATACGTTGATGAGGGATTCCATGGCAGTCTCCAGCTCCGAGCCCATGGCTGCAACACACCTGCCTCCCACCACCCCCCACCAGGCCAGACAGGGATGAGGTCCAGATAGGAGACGCCCAGGGCTGCTGGAAATAAGAGAACCCTGAGCTCCTAAAGCCCTTGTATTGTAATGCATATATAGATAATTTGGACTCCATTCTTCATGATGTGGATTGTATCCTCTAGGACCGTATTCAATGTTATTAATTATTTATCCTTTTAGTTGACATTTTACATGCTCATTTATTATTCTTAGTTAACAGAAGCCAAAAGAACTGATTAATTCAGCCCTTACTTTTTTTTTTTTTTAAAGCATCATAGGCCTCAGGTCTGTAAGGGATCTTAGGGATGGATCCCAATTCCCTAATTTTACAGATGAGTAAACTGAGGACTAGCAAGGAGATCATATATTGGGTTAGTACAGAGCTTCAGCTAGAACCCAGATTTCCTTGACTTCTTTCTAGCACATGATGGTTTAAAAACTAAAGTAAAAGTTCAGAGAAAGGGGTGGAGGTTGAAGGCTCAAGGCTAGAGAGTTACTGGAAGGAAAGAAACAGGGGGCTAGAGGTAGGGACAGGGAAGGAAATAGAGGGGAGTTTGAAGGATAGGAGCTGGGGGGCTCCATAGTGGAGGGGTATTTTGGGTACACTAGAGAGAGGGGTAGAAACAGGGAACACTGGGCAGCACCAGGAAGCAAGAGGAATGCATTGCTAGATGGACAAAAAGAACATCTTACTCACGAGGCAGCTGGCCCTGGGAATGAGGGTGGGTCTTAGGAACCGACAAGTCTTTCTCCTGTCCTATTTTTATCACAGGCCTAGTGTGTCCTGCCCAGGCTAGGGTGTCTCTTCAGTAACTATCACTGCCCTCTCCGAACTGAGAACAAAGGGGAGCTAGGGATGAAGGACCACTTATGCAGAGTCATGCTCATGCTTTTTCCTAATTTCTTATAGTTGATGCCCTTAAATTCTCCCTCTGCCCAGGGGTTCTCAGCCCCCTACTCACATCCCTCTGACTTCTCTAGTATGTTCCCTCCTATTAGTTCCTTTTCCCCCCTACCCCCACCTTCTATGCTTTAGGATTGGTCAGACTGAAGTCTGTCTTGAGAACCAGCTCTTTCTAATCAGACCTGGATGGTGGGAATGCAGAAAGGAATGTTTGATTCTTATCCCCCAGAGTTGGGCTCCAGGGTGTGGTGGGGGTGGGGAAACTAAAAGGGCCCAAGTACAATCTCCTGTTTCCCACCAGCAGCTTGAACTTGAGAAGTGGAAGACTAGATGGGAGTGTAGTTGAGGTGATCAGAAATGAAGGGGAATTGTATGCCTGAGGTTCCATCTGAGTCAAGGTGCAAGGAATTAGAAGGGAGGAAGGAAAATGATGTGTGAGGTTATAATGGGGTATGACATTGGAAAGGGGTTTTCGCTCTGGGAGTAAACAGCACCACTTACCCCCTGCTCTCCCCTTCCCCCCCCCCCCCCCTTGCCTCCCTGGGACCCTCCCCCCCCCCCCCCTCCTTAGAGGGGATCTCAGGTGTCCTAGATCAGGTATCTCTCACCTCTTTCCCCAGGACTGGGGGGATGGACAATGGGTCCTATCGGATGACACTCCAGCTCCTCAATGAATCCCTTGTGTCACCCGAACTTTGGACATGAGAGGTGGTTGTCACAGAGACCAAGGAGGGGGGAGGGTGTGTGGAATGGGAACCTGAAGCCTGGGTCTGATGGGGGGATAAGGGGAAGGGGGGCTGGCATCTCCTATTACAAGCCCCATCAGTGATCACTGATGTGGAGGTCCTGAGGAGCCAAAGGAACCTTGGGTTTTCCCCCACAAACATGTCCATGGACCCTTTGGGAAGTCTTGAAGAGTACAGTTTGATATGTGATGTCTCTGAAAGGTGTCAGCTCAGTAGAGACTTTATAGATGGTAGAGTTGAAAAATGCTGAGGAAGGAGGGGAAGAAGTAAGGAAGTTAGGAAAGAAAGAGAAGAGGGAAAAGTTACTGAGGGTTACTGAGTAGAGAGGGAGGTGAGTGAGACACTCTTCCTAGAATCCTCCACACCCCACCTTGGTGCCCATTCAGAGAAACTTTTCATCTCTTGTTCTTGGCTGTTATAGGGGTTTAAACATGAGGCAAAGCATGGGAGTGGGCTCAGGCCCTGGAGTGAAGGAATAGTTCTCTTATTTTGGAATCTCAACCTCCCCAGCTCCCAGGGGCTTGGGAACAGCTGCCCAGTCTTCTACTTGGCTCATGCCAGGGCTATTTACCCCAGAAAAAGCAGAGTAAAGGCCTAGGTCTCAGATATTTCAATCCTCCACCCTCAAACCCAAGAGAGAGATGAACTGGCGTTTAGGAAGCCCCAAAGATGGAGGGGGAAATCTTGGGGATTCCTTAGCTAGAGGGGATCCTTTTATGAGGAAGGGGCTGTATTGCTTTTGCTTTTGGAGAGTAGAGAAATCTGTCCTCCCATCTCACCGTTTAAGTCCCCAGGGAACTGGGTCCTTCCTCCATGGATGGACCCTTCAGATCCTTCACTCAGCCCCAAAGTGCCCTATTGCTCACTGATAGTCCCCTTCAACTGAGCAACATTTCCAGGCTTTTGCAGACCACCATCCCCCTTGTAGTTAGCACACCCTCTGTATCGGAGAAAGCAAAATACTCACGGGTGGGTTCGGGGCTGAAGGGGGAGCAGATGAGAGGGGCGAAGCTGCGTGTCCTGTGACTAGAGCCGGTGTGGGGAGATCTCTCTTCAGGCGTCCTTCTCCCCACTCTGGACACCCCCTCCTACCTTTAGCTCCACCCCCCTCATCGGGCTGACAGCCAGTGGGGCAAACAGCCAGCTAGCAGACAGAAGCACCCTCTGTCTTCAGAGTTGGGACAAGCTGGCCCTGTTTTACCTTCTCCCCCAGGTCTGGGTTGTTTTTTTTTTTCTTTTTTTTTCTTTTTAAAAACATTCCTTTCCCCACATGCATGCTAGCAATCCACGGGGGTTCTTGGTTAATATTGATGCCAATTCAGCCCTAGCACAGAGCAGAGAGGGTAAGAAAGGATAAAGTAGCGGGAGAGAAAGAGGTAAGATCAGAGACCACGGGATGTTGAACCCTTCTGGTCCTTGGACCGCCCCGTAACTAACTGTCCATAGCGGCGAGGCATGGTCACACCTATGCCCTATTGAGCAGCAAAAGAAGGGGACTCCTCCAAGGGCCTCATCTCTAGAATTCCTCAGAAGACGGTGCCTTCTTTACTCTTAATTTTACCAAGAGCTAGCTGGGATGCACGAATTAGGACTTTTTTGAGGGGTTGGAGTGGGGGAGATAAGAGTGAGATGGCGAGTGAGCGAAGGGATTTAAAGGACGAAGTGAATGGAGGTTGGAGGTGCATACTGCAAGCTCGGGGTGGGAGCTATGTCTCTAGGGCTGGAAGGGTGGATGAGACCAGGAAAGTGAGGCTTGCTATTTGTTTGCTTCAGGGAAGGGGCATAGAGGTGTAAGTTGTTTGTGCAGAAATGTTGATGATGCGCTGATGGGTGAGGAGGAGTGGGTGGGCGTGCCCTTTGCCGAAGTTCACCACGGGAAACTCAATACTTCGGGATATACACGGAGGACTCTGTCTCCCCAGCTCCACCTCCTGGGCGTTTATAAACCTCAGCCCATCCCTACTTCTGCTTGAGGCAAAACCAGAGGGTGAGTATCAAACCTACTTCACCTACTCCTTTTGGAGTGGGGTGGATGAGGGGCCCTCTTCCCCAGGAGAAAGATGAGCCCCTCCCCCCAGTCCTGGAACTGGGAATTCAGGAAGTGACTTCGGGGCTCTGAAGGAGGGGGTGGGGGGAACTAGTCCTTGAAGGGGATGAACTAGTTGGAAGAGGGTCGGATGTAAGTTAGAGAGGTCTTGGAATTTCCCTTTTTCTCCAACCCTCTATCCTCTTAGAACCAAACTGTGGAGGCGGTAAAGAGATCTTTAGTTGGCAGCTTAGTTCCTGCGTCCGATTCAGTAGCTTAAAAGATGGGAGGAGCCCTGTAGCTAGGACCCATTACCGTTAGCTTAACTTCGGAACTGTCTATTTTGGAGAGGGTCCATATCTTCCTGCTCTTTGTACTGAGAAACATCTGAATGTTTTCCATGGGGACGTTGAAAGACACTGGTTGAGATGATACCAACTTTGTAGTTTGTGGTGCAGATTCCGGGTCTCTTGGTGGGGTGGAAAGAGAGCATCTCTGAACCTCCCTGACACCTTACTTAATTTCAGGAAGATGCCTTAGGAAAAGCTGAGGCAGAGACATTTTAAATAACCTTATGTGTCAGAGTGCTAGACTCCAGACAGAGATTGCTAGCCTGATTGCCCACAAAGAGAGACACCCCCTCCCCACCCCAGCCTAAGACTCCTCACAGGTTTGGAGACAGGTCTCTTTCTAGGTCTCTAAAATGTCCAACAGAGATGGGGGAATGAATAGGTAATACCTGGGCAGGGTTCCTCCCTAGAAGTTACCTTTGGATATTCCTTTCTCCTCAACCAGCTTTAGATCCACAGTTAGTCCAAGAGCAAGCTTCCTCACCCCTAGCCTCCTCCATGGCTGCTGAGCCACTGACAGAGCTGGAGGCGGCTATTGAGACGGTGGTGAAAACCTTCTTCACCTTTGCTGGTCAGGAGGGAAAGAAAGGCAGCCTCAGTATCAATGAATTTAAAGAACTGACCACCCAGCAGCTGCCCCACCTCCTCAAGGTAACTGGGAACCCAGGGGAGACTGGGAGGATGCTGTGACAGAGAGAAGATAGTTTATGATGGAATATGATGGCTTGCGTGGACGTGATTTTGTAGGTACTTGACAACTTGTGTGACACTGTTGGTGTGGCAGTGTGTCTGTAAATGTGATTGTGTTACAGCTGTGGAAGACAATGCAGTTAAGTGTATTTGAGCAACGCACTGTGTGCTTGTTTTCTTGGTCTTACCTGGGATAATCCGATGATTTCATACTAGACTAGAAACTATCTCCAAGGATGTAGATCCATAAGTACTCAGTAACTTGGGGAATGGCCCCAGGGCACAGGGAGTTTAAGTGACTTGCCTATCTATGGTCACACAGTTCGAGTGGATCAGAATTGGGCCTTGAGCCTTGATCTTGATATGTCATGTTGCTTCTTACATGTGTTTAGATGAATGAAATCTTGTGATTTTGTGCAACTGTGATTGTCTGGGTGTGGTGGAGTGTAAGCCCATGACTGTGACGCCTATAAAATTTAACACTGTGCATTAATAAGGCTTTTTTCTCCCTGACTGGAACATATCATCTATGACAGTAGAGACTATGTCTTATATGTACTTTTTTATATTCCCCATATTGGCTAGCATGATGCTGGGCATTCAGTAAGAACTTCATAAATACTTAAAATCCTGTAGTGTTAGATGTAGAAGGAACCTTGGTGATGATCTAGCATAACCTTTTTGTTTTATAGATGAGGACATTAAGACCCGAGGATTTTTTCAAGGCCATACAGCTAAGCCTTAGAGATAGTTTATTCCAACTTCTAACCCAAAACAGAATTGTCTTTACAACATTTCTAACAGATGGGTCATTAAAACTGAATACTTGTCAATCAATCACCAAGCATTTATCAAGAGTCTACTATGTGCCAGGCACTGGGCTAAGAACTGTCACATCTAGTAACAAGGAGGTCATTATTTCAACTTTCATTATAGAATTTTAAAAATTATTCTGAATGTAAACATTTAAAAATGCAGATTTCCATTTATATAGTAGAAAAGAAAAAGGAAAAGAGAATTGTACACTATCATGGAATCTTACTAGTTTCAACCTACCTGTGAGATCTTTTTGCATACTAATTCTGTTAGACAACGTATTAGGTCTTCCTCCCAGCATCATCCATCATCTGTCATTTGGTAGGCATGGTTTCTGTGTATCCAAGTTGTTGACAAAAATACTGAGCTGATGATAGAGTTGGAGACATGTTGATAGACAACTTCCACACTGGTATTGATCAATCAACACTCTTTGGGTACAGCTGTTCAACCTGCTGTCAACCTACCTAGTTATCTTCTCTTCTAGCACGAGGATATCTTGAGAGGTTTTATAAAATTCCTGTCTTGCTGAAGCCTGGATATATTACATCATTATCATTCCCCTGATCCTAGTAATTCTGATGAAAAAACAAATAAGGTTAGGGGTGTGTGTGTTTCATTGAACTTATGATTTCAATAGTATAGGGAACTCCCCTTACCTATTAATGTACATCAACAACTTTTCAGCAACTTAATCTTAAAAAGTTACTCAAGGTATTTTGAAGTTAAATGATTTGCCTTGGGTCACATAACAACCAGTATGTGTCAGAAGAACTTGAATCTTCCTGACTGGGGATGATGCTTTATCCATTATGCCATGCTGCTTCTCAAAGATAGGGTTATTCCAAACTAAATAACAGACGACTATTTGAGAGAGAATACACACACACACACACACACACACACACACACACACACACACACACAC